TCAGGATTCTGGGCTAAGTTGAGGATCTGCCAGATAGTTGATACCAGGATTATTTCCTGTTTTCCATAGAAAGGAACTTAGGCCTGACCTTCCAGAAGTTGACTCTTGGTTTGTATCTTCATCTGCAGGTGGAGCAGTTTGTTCCCTGCTCCAGTCTTGTTGTAGTTAGCTTTTTTTGGGCAGGACTGGTGGAGATGAGCAAATACTGGAAAAGTGGTTTTGGCCAAGTTAAGGAATGTGGAATGGGTGTAGTTGGAAAATAATGCTCCTTTGGGAATTTTATCCAATGTCAGGTCAAATAAGAGTGGGAGGGGGCAAAGAGAGCCAAACTGTTGGTGTTTGTAGGTCCAAAATTTGATTCCTTGATTTTCTTCTGCTTCCAGGCCGCCAAGCTTCTACAACAGCGCGTCACCGCCGCGGCCGCCATTCCAGGGCAACGACCCACATTCCCAGCACATGTACAATCCAGGCTCGAGTCCAGGGCCAGGTCCTGGCATGTCCCAAGGACACAACGGGCCCCCGATGCACCCTGGCTCTCCTGGGCACCATCCCTGCGGAGGCCCCCAAGGGCCGGGAATGCCGCAGAGCCCCCCCATGCAGGGCGTTCCCCCGGGATACATGGGCCCGCAGAACCAGACTGGAATGCCCATGCAGGGGCAGCAGGGTGGGCCACCCCTCACCCCGCCAGGGATGGGAGGATCCTACAATTCCCCTGGAGTGCAGGGACACATGGTGAACATGCCAAGGGACAATCACTGCCCCCCGGGGCCACAGTACCAGCAGATGCCCGGGGAGTACGAGCCCATGCAGAACCCGGCTGACTTCTACGACAACTATTATTCCCACCAAGCTGTACACAACTTTCAGCCAGCCAATAATTCTGGAGGTAAGGACATCTGCCGGATGAATTTTGGATAGAAACTTCATGGAATGTCTTCAGTGTTCTGGCTTTCTCAGCTCGTGCTGTTCAGTTGCGTTGTTAAGTCATGTTATACGTTAGGGTGAAATGGGATATTGGGAAGAAATCCTTCCCTATGAGGCTGGGGAGGCCGCCTTAGGGGGAAATGGGATATTGGGAAGAAATCCTTCCCTATGAGGCTGGGGAGGCCCTGGCTGAGTTTTCCCAGAGAAGCTGTGGCTGCCCCATCCCTGGAAGTGTTCCGGGCCAGGATGGATGTGGCTTAGAACAGCCTGGAATAGGGGAAGATGTCCCTGCCATGGCATGGAACTGGATGTCCTTTAAGCTCCTTTCCAACCCAATTCATTCCATGATTCCATGTTTATAGCTGTCAACATTACTCTAGGATAACTGCTAACTGGAGTTTTGTCCTGCAGATGGAGCATGGCACGGGGAATTCACAGATCACCAGGCTCACCTCATGGCTCCGGAGTCACACCCGGGCGGGGGCGAGTCGGACTGCATGGGTGGCCACATGGGCCACAACCAGGGCATCAACGTGCCCGATTTCCTGCCCGCCATGCAGAAGGCCCTGTATGTGAGGCTCAGCCAGAAGCACCAACGGGATGGAGACTCTGCCAGCAGCCAGGGCCAGAGGGCCATGAGCAAAGATGAAGGTGAGCAGGATTTGGTTGGAATTCTCATCATATTAATGGCCGTGGTCAACAAATCGCTTGACGTTGACTCACATCGTGTCACTGTTCACAGTTATTGGGAATAGTTACTGGAAGCAGCAGCAGCTCAGTATTTTCAGCTCTTCTTCCCAGCTTGTTCTAGAATCTTAGTGTAGGTTCAGTCCATCCTGACTCCAGTGAATAATTTTTGGATCTAGTTGCACTTTTAAAAGGTCCTTTGGTTGATAATTACTTTGGAAAATCCCTTGTTGGACCAGAGGGGTTGTTTCTCGCTGCCAGGACTGGAAGTGCATCCTCTATCCTGTTTCTTCAGGTGCACCTCTTGATCTGTTTCCTATAGAGCAGCTTTTTGCTTCTCTGATATCCTTTAAAATAAAATACTGTAATTTCTTCCCTTCCTGAATCTCAACTTCTCCTACAAACTTTGGAATTTGGCTTAAGTAAGGCAGAAAATTCGTAATTTACCTGGATTAAAGACCACTGCAAGGGGCCATTTTCTTTTCCTTCTCCTATCAAGACTCAGATTTTAGATATGGTTTTTTACTAGATCCAGTAAGGATTGTTTGAAAGCAGGTTACTGTCCCAAATTAATATTGAAGAATATGGGGACACTCCCAGGCTGTGTTGCATTCTGTCTCCATTACCTCCAGGTTTTTGTGTTACGGCATTTCTTTGATTAAATGGATGTTGGTCATTTGAGGTTGTGATTTTTATGACACTGGGAGTGATTTAATATCAGATCATTTCAGTTTGACTTTACTGAGGAGTTTCCTGTTAGGGAGTGTTGGATCCTCTAAGAATTATTTGCTGGAATAATCTAAATTTTGTGGCATTCCTTTTATTTTTAGATGACAATGTCAACTGGTATTCCAGTAGTGAGGAGGAAGAGGGGAGCAGTGTTAAATCAATCCTCAAAACCTTAAAGAAACAAAGCGAAAACTTTAGGAATCGGCAACAACATTCCACGGAGCAGCACATGCTTGGGATGCCTACGGATCCCAGGCTGGCAAAAGACAAAGGTGTGGGGCCTCAGGCTGCTGACCCCAGACTCCGGGCCTCTCCAAGGCCCAATCCCAGGAAGCCTTCGGAGTCAGCGTCCCTGGATCCCCGGCTGGCCCGCGATCCGCGGATGCACAAGGTCAGCGAGGGCGGCCATCCCGGCCCCTCCCTGGCCGGGGCCAAGCTGGATTTGCACCACGCCCACGCCGGAGTGAAGGTCAAGCAGAAAGGGCTGGATGATGACGAGGAGGACTCGGAGAGAGAGCTGAGGGAACGAGCTTTCCTCATTCCCTTGGAACCTCTGCCGGGCGTCACGTTACGGGATCCCCGCTCCCAGCTGCGGCAGTTCAGCCACATTAAGATGGATGTGACCCTGATGAAACCCAACTTTGCCAAGCACATTGTGTGGGCCCCCGAGGACTTGCTCCCAATCCCTCTGCCCAAACCCGACCCCGTCTCTTCCATCAATTTGCCTCTCCCTCCTCTCATTGCTGACCAGAGACTGAATAAGTTGCGGAATTTGAAGAACGATCCACACCCCAACGCGATGCCAGCAGATCCCCGGCTCGCTGCCAAGGCCAAAAACAGCCTTGTGGGCCGGGGTGGCTACTTGGATCCATCCACAGATTCCCATGCCAGTAGCTCCAGCAAACTGGGGGATCCTCGCTTGCAAAAGAACGTTGATCCCAGACTCCATAGACTGTCAAGTGCAGATGCTCACCACGGAGTCGGGAAGGATTCCCACCCTCCCAAATTTGACCCCCGGCTCGCCAGAGCTGCTGCCAGCTCATCCCAGCCCTCGGAAGCCACGACTCCGAAATCCGACCCCGATGCTCTGCCTCCCTATGCACCCAAATTATCATCCAGTGGTGTTAGGCTGGGAACTCCCGGCTCCATCCTGAGTGGGATCAGTTTGTACGATCCCAGGGATCACAGCTCATCCTCGGACACGGCTCCAGCCAGTTCGGGAGAGAATGGAGAGAACCAGAAAAAAAGTATTTTGAAAAATTCCAGTAAAAATGAGCCGAGTCTCGTGGAAGATGCGTCCCAGCAGAAGGCTGCCTCCAACACGGAAAAACCCACGGAAGGATCAGCAGAAGCTGCTTCAGACAAGGCAAACAGCACCAGTAAATCTCAGGCTAAACACTCCAGCGCTGCCCCTGCCGTCCATAATCTCCCAATCCAGGCTCTGTCAGGATTAATCCGGCCCCAGTACAGCGACCCCAGGCAGGTGAGGCAGCCCGGACAGGTAACGCAGGCCCCGGAGAGCGATCCCAACGGGGAGTCGGATGATAAATCCTTAAAAGATGTTTTCAAGACTTTCGATCCAACTGCTTCCCCGTTTTGTTAGCAGACGGCTTTGGAGTCTTTTTACCGTTGTGGGTATTGCAGTTCTCTGCTGTTTTGTACCTGGGTTACCTCTTTTGGCTTTATTTATTTTTAAATTATAATTCCCACCACTTTTCAGCTGCTAATCTCCGAACCACACGCAGTTCTCCAGTACGCTCGAGTGTTTGCAAAGCTGTGGTATTTTCTAGAGAATCCTTTTTCTTTCCAATTTCAGGGAGACTAATAATTGACCTGTAGAAAGGAAACCAATCCCCCCGGATCGTGTTAGAGCTGAGAAAAGCACTTTCATTGTAAATAAGTCATGGAAAATTCCCAGAGCTGTATATGTGTGAGCTGCCTCTTTCCCAACCACCACTTAGATCCGATTGCCACATTTGTATAGATCCAAGCAATATTATGTACATGAATTCCCGGGAGAGATGCCGTTCCAGGACTGCCAAACCCTTGAACTGATGGAAAACCTCACGGGAATGAATTCAAAGGAAAGCGTCGCTCCTCCTTTTCCAATGAGTTGATGTAAGACACGGACAGTTTTTATTCCTGCAGTCAATATTAGTGTAAAAGAGACTATATCACATATTGAGGATGAAAAATGTCATATCTTTTAAAAGTATTTTATTCTATGCTGTACATAGAAGAAATTGTGAAGTACATAACTAGCAAAAGTAACTGTTCGAAGTGGAGAAAACTACATTGTCTAATACGGAAAAAAAAAGGTTTTTATTTAATTTTTTTCCACGCCTACACGATTGGGATTTAGTGCTCCGAGTTCCATTGTGGTGTTCATGTATTTCAATGTATTTTTGTATTCAGCTGCTTAATTTGTATTGCTTTTTTTGTATGGCTGTAACTGCAGTACTTGTATTCATGGTGTCTCGACGACATTTTTAACAAAACAATTAAAAAGGGTACAGTTAATTCCTGGAGACGACTCCGTGTGCATACGGTGGCAGCTGGGAGGAGGGGGACTAAAGCTGGGCTTTTTGGGATGGTTTGTGGGGTTTTAACATAACCTTGTACCTGATCCCAAGGTCTCATGGAGAGAGTTGCCATTTTCCATCATGGAACATCCTGCATGCCTTGAATTCCCCAGGTTTTGCATGGGAGAGCACAACTGTCCTCCAGACCTCCTGGGGCTGCTTTTTGTCCAGAGGAAGTGCAGTCATTCCTAGCCAGCTGCTTTTCCAATAACAATGTGGTGGCTGCTCAATCAATCATCTGCTTCCCATTCTTTTGGAAGGTTTCTCTGCTTTGAGTCTCTTCCTTGGTGGACCTTTTCCTCTTGTTTTTCCCTTGGCCAAGTGATGGTCATGGACCTTTTCCTTTTGTTTTTTGGCCAAGTGGTGTTTCCACTGGGACAGCAGAGTGTTTTTCCCGAATTCTGAGGTTTTGCCTTGCATGGATGAGCCAAGGGAAGCCTGTGATTCCTGCACAGCAGAGGAGGCATCTCTGAAGGCATTCGTGGTTTCAGTTTGCCTTCCTGATTTGCCAGAGCAGGAATTCCATTAATTTTTTTTTTGTTTTGTTTTTTTTGTGTAGCAAAAGTAGAGAATAGACATGGAATTGGGTTGTTATTTTGGAGTAACCCATTAGTGCTTTATTAGTAGTCTGTTATTTCTTCATCTACTCACTGGTGTGGCTGGTCAAGGTTTTCCTCAAAAAACCAAGCCAGCAGGGAAAAATAGTGTGGAAATAGGGCATGGATACAAAGGCCTGTGAGTCCTCACAGCCTCTTGTCTCCATGTGTATTTCCTTCCTGCCTTTCTCCCTCCCTCCCCTGCTTTATCCATTGCAGATAGCTTCCCAGACTCTGCAGTGTGCCTGCTGCTGCTTTTTCTTGGAATACGGAGGAGACTCCTTCCTGCCATGCACGTAATGGAATTCCTGGTTTGGGGAAGGTGGTTGGGATGCAGGTGGGACACCAAGGTGGGCTGGAATGGGCTGCAGCCACCATGGAGCCAGTTGTGATCTGCTGTGGTGTTGGATTGTGTATTCCACAGGGGAGGCTCCCTTCCACCTCTCCTGCAGAATTCCAGCATGGAACAGTGTTTCCATCGGACAGCTCATGATCCTGAGGCTGGGAAGGATGGATGTGGAGAGCCAGGACAGAGGAGCAGCAGTGTCACCACTCTAGGACACTCTGGAAGTGAGGTAGGTGATCTTGGGGATTGAATGTTTACTCTGGATAGAAGAGAATCCTGGTGCTGAGTGGGATTTTGGGAAGAAATCTGCAGGCTCAGGGGCAGCAGGTAAGACAAAAGACTCCCCACTGCTGTATCCCTGGATATGTGACGGAGGAAAGGCTGAAAGATGGCACAAAGCCTGAGCATCTCTGGATCACAGAATCATGGAATAGTTTGGGTGGGAAGGGACCTTAAACTCATCCCATTGCACCCCCTGCCATGGGCAGGGATACCTCTGACACCTCCCACTGGATCAGGATTCTCCAGAGCCCCATCCATCCCATCTCACCACCTGGGGATAAAACACTCACCAGAAGATTCCTGGCCTCCCCACGGAGCCTGTTCCAAGATTTTCCTGCCACAATGAAAAACTCCAGCATGAATCCTTCACACTGAAAGTATTCCTCCTCTGCTTCCAACGGCACTGGGACAAGGAGCCCCTCTGGATTTACAGATGTCTGTCCATAACTGTATGTCCTTTCCTAGGATTGGGATGCTTTGGGATATTCCTGCTCCGAGGGGGTTGCTCTTGCACCACAGACATCAGGGTGGGCTCAGCCTTTGCCCCTCGAGTTTTCCGGAGCCCTAATTCATCCCGGTCGGAATTTAAAGCCTCCTTGGCTCTGTGCTGTGTCAGGTTTTTCCTCCACTGCTGGCAGAAAGAAGCAACTTCTTCTTCTTCGGGGTCTGCTGGGGGTTGTCCCAAACCCTGTTGGATGAAGGAATTGGTTTAATATATCCTTGTGCATCCTAAATTGTGGAAAAGTCTGGATGTGCCAATGTGTGTGTGATCCACACGGCATTGCTACTTCTTAATGCTTCAGAATGCTTCAGAATGCTTCAAAAGCTTCTTACAGGGAGAGAAAGGAGGGCAGTTTGTTGATAAGCAGGGAATTTTCCAAAGGGAAATTTCCAGGTCATAAAGGACTTTGGGATCTAGATAGTAAAAATTAATTAATTAATTAATTCAGCATCAGCAAAGTGAAAAATGGGCAAATGGAGGGAGTGCTAAGTTTAATTAAGCACAGGAGGAGCTTTGTCACCCTTGGGGCTGACTGTTCAGCAAATGGGATTCTAAAAAATATGTGTTTCCTTCAAAAAGAGATGCTGATCCCAGGAAAAGCAGTAGGATTATAGAGGAGGAAGGGATTCAGATGGAAATGCTGCCTTAGGGAGAGGCTGGTGGTGTTTGCACTTGTTTTCCAGTTGTTTCCAGGAAAAATCTGCTTCCACAGACTTTACAGTCAGATCAGCTAGCTCTGGATGGCAGCTGCATGGGAAATTCTTGGGAATTTGGCTTTTGGGAATAAAGAGGATAGCATGGACTAATTCCAAATAAAGGTGCTCTATGATCCAAAAATTAAGTGGGGAATGGACCAGGTAAAGGTGACTAAAAGGACAGTCAATGCCTGGGATGATGTAGGGTGGGCTTTGGACACGAGACAAGCACAAAATGAAAGTATTCCAGGAGGAATATCTGCTCCAGCTGGAGTCCCACAGCAGCCAGATCCCAGCTCCCATAGAAAGACCTGGATGAGAAACTCCCACAGCATGGAACTGCCCTGGCCCAGAGAAGCTGTGGCTGCCCCATCCCTGGAACTGCTCAAAGCCAAGTGGGATGGGGCTTGGAGCAACCCTCCCCACCCAAATAACTCCAGGACTGATTCCATGATGGACTCACTTTGACACACGCCGCCTCGGCCGCCCTCAGGACATGCTGGACTGCTTGAATGAGGTTCTGCACGTTGCTGAGCAGCAGCTCAGAGGAGGCCCTGCTCTCCCCAGTCACTGCTTTCACCCTTCAAAGACATTCCAAAGGATTTTATTGGAAGGACATTGGACATCCTGACAGTGAGTGTTGTTATTCCAAACCCAGCTTATCCCCTGCACCATCGGAGCAGGGAAACCCATGGGAGGGAAGGGAGGCCTCCAAATTGTTCAACTCTTGGACAACACCCACCTCCCCTAGGACCTCTGGGGACCACAACCCACATTCCTTGGAGAAAGGATCCCTCTGGGATGACCTTGGGAGAGGTGATCCAGCTGCTGGCAGCTCACCTGGCCACGATGCCGAGCTGGCTGCTGATGGATTGGATGTGCTCAGTGGCACGGAGCAGCTCCATGGAGCATCTCTGGTCCAGGCAGTGCTTGGCAAGGATGTTCCCAAACTTAACAACCACCTGCCCATCGGAAACCATTTGCCTGGCACAGGCAACAAACTGCTCCTTGCTCTGGAACGGGATAAAAATCAATGGGATTGGGGAGAGAAGCTAAAAAAGCTTTTCCTGCAGGACAGGGAAGGTCCAGGAGGCTCAGATACATCCTGAGGAAAGGACAGGATGCCAAGCTCGCATCCAACCAGGAGGAAGGATTTTGGAGTATTTTGCATAAATAGAGCTGGTGCCACTCTCCCAAGAGCTGGGTGACACGGGGATTTGGGATGGAGTTGCCATGATCCTAAGGGAAAACAAGAGGGAGGAAACGCTGCCTACCGCAATGGGGCCCTTCCTCCTCAGGAACTGAGCCATGTGGAGCATCCTTGTGGCCATGTCCTGGGTCACCTGGGACACCTTGCTGGGGCCACCTTGCCACTTGTCACAGTTTCCTCTCTCCTGCTTTGCAGGGGAGATGCTGGAAGGGCCATCCTGGTGCTGTTGAGACAGTAATGGAGCAGATTCCAAACCTGGAATGTGTGGACACAGCGATGCCGAGTGGTTTCCTCCACCTGGGTGTTTCTGAAGGAGATTTTGGTGAGTAAAGTTGGTGGGAGATGTGCACACCCCCTTCTGGGCCTACTCTGCCTTCCCACCAGCCCTTCTCTCTAAATCCAAAGCCCTTGGAGCCATCTCCAAATGGAGTGGGGTGTCCTGCAAGCTGACAGTTTGCAATTAATTCCCAGCACAATTAGAGCTCTAAAGCACTTTGCTGAGGGACCTGGGTCTGTGCCAAAGCCTTTCCCAGTTCCTGACACGCATGGGAATGGAGTTGCTGGTATTCCCAGAGGGAATGTGTGGAGGTGAGGGAGAGTGCTGCAGCCCCTCTGCCTCTGAAATGGTGGATTGGGTTGGATGTAGGAGAGCCTGGCTGATCGGATATCCAGGAATCTAGGGCTGCCAGCAACCTGAGCTGCCTGAGTGGCCCAGGGTCAGCCTGCTGACCTCCAGAGGCCCTGCCAGCATCCCTCACATTCCTGCTCCATGCTGGGAGCACCAGGAATGACGGACAGCCCTGACCAACACCCAGGGAAAAGAGCTCCTGTACCAGTTCACGCACTTCCCGCATGGCTTCACTCGCTCCTCTGCTCCTGCATGGATGAATTCCTGCTGCCTCAGTGAGCTCTGGGGCTGGGGAGAGTCCAGCTGTGCTGTTGGGTGATCCTGGGAAGCGTTCCCGCTGCAGGCGTTCTGTGGGGCACCGCAGGATGTCCCTGTCGATTCCATGGATAACCCAGAGCTGTGTGACAAGGTAGTGTGCCTTGGCCGACCAGTACCACACCATGCCCTCCAGGTGGGGATCCCCAGTGTCCTGGCAGGGATCCCCAGTGTCCTGGTGGCTCTGGAAGTGCTGCCGGGCGCTTCCCACCACATCAGCCGTGAGGAGCAGGAGGTGGTCAGCCACGGATAGCAGGTCAGGCTGCGATGGAAGTGGAGCACTGGCCTCCAGAGCACCTTGGAGGGTGTTTCTGACCCTCTGGACATCAGCCATGAGCTGATTTGCCTTCTCCTCAAAACCTTCTTTGCTCCTCTCCTCTTGGGTGAGGTTGGACAGAGCTGCTCCAACCACATCTTGGATGAGCCGCAGCTGTTCCATGTTGACCCTTTCCATGTGGAGCAACAACGCCTTGGCCCTGAGGGCCACGTCCCTCTGCAGGAGCTCGAAGCGGATGGCCAAGCTGGCAGTAGGCAGTGGGGAGAGCAGGAGGGTGTTGGACACATCCAGCAGCGCTTCCATGAGCACCTGGATCTCCTCCCGGAGCACCAGGATTTCTCTGGCACTGTGGTCTCCAGGGCAGGATAAGTAGGAGAGCCGAGCAGCCTCCTGCAACCTGAGGGAATTCTCAGCCACAGCAGCCAGGAGGCTCCGTGGGCCAACCTTGTTCCTCGCAGCTCTGCTCAGCTCCCTCAGGAACAGGACATCCCTGCCCACAAACTGATCCATGGCATCCAGCAGGACACGCATGCCAATGGCCCACCGGACACCATGCGGCTCCAGGATAGCCTTTTCCATCGCACAGGATTCCCTGAAGGACACTGCCTTCTCCAGGAACCCTTTGGTGTTCAGCTGAGCACAGGAAAACTTGGCTTGGAGCTGCAGAAAGCTCTCCTGGATGTGAGAGGGATTGGGATTTTCCCTACTGCAGGCTGTGCTTGCAATATCTCCTGCCACCTGCACTGCTCCTGCTAAGCCCAGCAGGGTCTCATCCAAAGCCTGCTTCCCTCTTGGAAAGTCACCCGAGAGGATAAATCCAAGCACTTGCTGGGCCAGACCATTCCAAGAGCCTGCCACAGCTGCCAGGCACTCCCGAGTCTCCTGGATCCTCCCCGAGAGCCTGAGTGCCATTGGGAGAAGCCTGCCTGGAGCAGGGAGCTGCCCAGGGACCGTTTCTCTGGCCAGGCTGATGATCCTTGGGGTAAGTGCCTTGATATCCCAGTGCTGCTCCAGCACCTGGAGCTGGGGGGGTTCAGCCACAGGCAGCGCTTCCCGTGCTGCTTCCACATAGCCATCGGAGAGCTCCAGCAGGACGGAGCAAGCAGCACGGACAGTGTCCAGGTCACCAGCTTGGGATGCTCCCAGGAGAGCTGTGATGACTGGGTGTGTATCCCCTTTCCATGGATCCTGGTGGAAGTTAGCTGGTGGTGAAGATGGATGACTTTGGGTATCTCCTTGGAATGCTGCCTCATCCGTACTGGTTCGTGTCCCAGCGTGGGATGGGCTGAGCTCCAGCCCCTTTTCCACCTTGGTGCTCCGCACTTGCTCCCGGAGCGGGCTGAGGATCTCCGGGTGGTTGGACCCATCCAGCCCGGCTTGGACACGGAGAGCAGAGTCCATCAGGGAGCTCGATGCCTGGGAAAAGGCATCCCGGCTTTGGAGGCAGGAAAATCTTCCTGGAATGAGGGCCGTGACTGCTCCCAGCTCCAGGATGGATTTGGCCAATTGCTCCACCCACACCAGCAAACCATTCCTGAAGATGGGATCCGTGGTCCTGTCCACGTGCCGGGTGGTGGCTCCGACCACCCAGCGCGCCCAGCCCATGAGGCGAGCGGTGTGCCAGGAGAATCCCTTGGGATCCCAGCATTCCAGTGCTGCTTCACACCATTCCTTTTGCTTGGCCAGCTCCAGGATGGATAACTCAAGGAATTCCCTCATGCCGATGGTGTCCTCAAAGCAGCGCAGGAGGCTGTTGGTGACTCTGGCCCAGGCACAGCACAGGGCCTGGAGCTGCTCCATGGTATTCCCACTTGTTTCCATGAGCAGGGAAGGGAGGCTGGCCAGGAGGCTCCGCAGGTGCTCCATGCCTTCCCGGATTTCCCTGGCAGTCTGGGCCTTGACACACCTGGCCAGGAGCAGATCGGCCGCTCGGAGTATCCGCTGGGCCTGAGCGAAGAAGGCGACAATGAGGGGCTGGAGCTTCCTTAAAATTCCTCCTGGTCCTGCTGGACAACAACCTGAATGAGCAAGGCTAAGGGCACCTTCAACCAGCTGCCTCAGAGGCTCCTTCTCCTCGAAGAATCCATCCAGGATTTGGCACAGCGTGGCCCTGAGCGCTGCCCGGTCCAGGTTTTCCAGCTCCTCCCTCAAGCTGTGACATTCCCATTCCAGGCCCTGTTCTCCCTGGCCCTCCCTCTGGCTCATGTGGCTGCAGATGCTCCTCCTCAGCTGCAGCAGGGCCCAGCAACGTTCCACCAGCTCCAGCTGCAGATCCAGCCTGGAAGACTCTGCCAGCAGCATTCCATGGAGAATGACCGCTTCCAAGTGGGAGCTGAACCCACCCTGGGAAAGGCGCAGGGGGTCAGAGTGGGAGAGGAGAGCCTGGAGCCTGCTCATCTGCTGGGAGAAGATCCCACTCCTGTCCTGTGGCTCCATGAGCAGGGAGAGGAGCTCCCTGATGGCCCTCTCCGTCAGCTGGAAAACAGAATCTTGGGAGAGGTCAGCTTGGCTGTCCCTGGAATGTGTCAGGGCTGTGTGGATGAGTGAGACGCACTTGTGGAGCAGCTGCAGGGCCTGGGCCAAGCTCTTCCCTCTGGGACAATCTCCCAGTTCCTGGAGGCGCTCGGCTGTTAGGCGGCTCAGCAGGAGCACGGCCTCAGAAAAGGCCTGGAATGCAGCCAGCAGCCCTGGAGTGTCCCGGGCATCCCGCAGCACGCTCAGGCATTCCAGGAGCCAGCTGGCAGCACCAGTGATCCTCCTCATCCCTGCAGCCTCTTCCAGCTGAAGGATCTAACCAGGAAACAAAGCAGAAAAGCTGCTCAGGTCAGGAATTCCCATTCCCGTTCCATCCCTGGAGCGGGGGGAAGGTGTGGTTTGCTCCATGGATCTGCTGGCCCTTCCCAGTGTCCCCTCACCTTTGCTGTCTCCATCAGAGTCTTCCTGGCGGCCGCTGCCAGGTGCTCTCGGTGCCGAGGGCTGTCCGGATGCTCCTGGAGCTGGAGTGCTGCCAGCACCACGTCCCTCCCAGCCTGGAGCAGGGATTCACCCACGGGACACATCTCTGTGCTCCCTTCCTCACCGGAATCCTCGGACAGCCTGGAATGCAAGGACTGGGCTCAGCACTCCTGTCTCTTCCCCGCTCCCTATCCCACCTCTCCAGGAGGATACAAGCTCCCTGCCACCTTTTCCATCTCTTCCCAGCCCCAAAATCCAGCCGGGAGACTCCCATGCACCTCACCTCCTTGCCACAGCAGCGAGTTCTTCCATAGCTTTGGCTAATTTTCCTGCCTTTTCCCCCAAAGTGGGAAAGGCTGGACAAATCCCATCTTCCCGTTCCAGGGCGAGGAGGAGGTGGCAGAGCTCCACAGCCATAGGGCAGAGAATTCCCTGGATAGCTTTGTTTTCTGTTGGGAGCCCAAGCTCAGAGAGAGAAAAAGGCTCCATGTTGTCCTGCCTGGAAAAGGGAAAACCCCCTGGGGTTAATTGGGATCCAGTGTGGAACAGCTCCCGGTTTTCCCAGCGAGCTTGGATGGGGATGGCAGTTCCTGGCTTGGGAAACGCTCGCGGCTTTAATTTCGCCCAGCCCTGAAACCAGGTCACTCACCTGGAATTCCTGGGACACCGGAGCCGGGATTTCCTTTCCCGGGGGATCATCACACGGTGTTCCCGGCACTGCAGAGCCGGCATTCCCTCAGAGGGAGGGATTCGGGACAGCGAGCCGGGGGGAGCGCGAGGTCTTTCCTCCCCGGTTCCCGCGGTTCCCGGGACGCCATGCGGGACGTTCCCATGGGAGCGACGCCGGGATGCGCCAGTGTCGCCATGGAGATAACGGGCGCGGGGTGATGACGTCGCGCCGCGCGCCGACCGCGGGGCACGCCGGGAGTTGTAGTTCGGCGCGTTC